GACGCGCAACACGGAAGATCAGGCGTTGGTGGCTTGTGAGGGCCTCCAAGAAGCCCCCCCCACTCCCGTTGCAAGAGACTTCGGTAACCGCCATGCCTGCACGTCCATGTCCCCGCCGGGCCTTCTGAAGCACCAGGAGCCGGCGGCGGCAGGAGTGTCCCCTCTCTCTCAGGGTGAGCCAATGGCTGACGTGCCTTCCCCGTCTCCCACACTCGCCAAAGACCTTCCTGCGGAGCTGGCCGAGCACCGCTGTGGCCTAGACCCCGAGCTTTACTTCACGGCTCCGTCCACCCCTATCCAGACTGCGTTTCCCCACCTTAGGCAGCCCCCTTTCTCTAAAGACAGCCTGAGCGAGGAGCAGAACGACCTGGACAGTGAAGGCCTCTGCTCCCCACCCACCTCGCCTTCGGGGTCCTACATCACGGCTGAGGGAGGCAGTTGGACCTCCTCAGGCACAGCGAGCACCTCCCCGTCCTGCTCCCCCAATCTCTTAGCCGAGTCGGAAGCTATGGAGGCCCCAACCGCTGACAGTGAGGCTCTATCGGAGCTAGAGCTTCCTGAAGGGGAACCCAAACCCTCTGGGGAGTCCTGCCCTCCTCTCGTGTTGGAGGGAGAGGTGGCTTTCTCAGCGCTCTCTCCCAGCCCCTTCGTTCCCTCTTCGTTTCCTGCAGAGGATGACAGCGGAGGCGAGGATGAGGAGCAGGTCACTCCGGAGGAGGAGGAGGAGGAGGAGGAGGAGGAGGAAGACAGGGACTGCGAGATGACCCCCTTGAAGCCCCTCCCTCAGAAGTTGGAGCAGGCCTATCCCTCTTGGCCCCCCAATGGCGACGATTCGGAGGATGAAGCCGACCTCAGCTTCAGCGCTTTGGAGGACCACGAGCGTTTCACGGTGGAGGGTTTGCCTTCGTACAAAGCAGAAGAAGTAGCTGTAGGGTCGGAAGCCTGCCCCTTGGCTTGTCCCCTTGGTGCCATGTCTGGGCCTCCCTCTGAGCTCCGAGGTGTGTTTGGAGTGAGCCCCTCTGAGGCGGGCGCACCTGGCGGGGTGCAGAGGGAGCCACCTGCTTCCTCCCCAGACGACGGTGTGGAGAGTGCCGAGAGCGATCAGATGATATCAGCTTTGCTTCTCCCATTCCACGGTAGCCTCCTTTTTGAGGCAGAGTCCATGGAGATCACTCTCTTCCCGCAGGGAGAAGTGGTGGAAAACGATGCCCTCTACGGCGTGGAGGACGACGACAGCACATCCGTGTCCTTCCTGCACTCTCTCTCAGAAACCTCCATCAATGAAGGAGCGGACGAGTCCTTCGCTTACCAGGATGACACCTCACAGTCCTCTGACTCTGCCTCCTATGACGGAGAGGATGGTGGGCAGCCGTACAGTGCGGAGCAATATGCTGTGGTCACCGATACAGCCGTATCTTCCAAGGAAGATCTGGAGAGCGGACCATCCCATCTGGGCAGCGAGAGCGAGATGGAGACGTCCTCAGATGCTTACAACACGGATGAAGATGCTGTTCCTGCAACAGGGGAACAACATCTGCAGACTGAGGGAGGGCCAGAGGAAAAGGACAGCTTCCAGGGTAAGCCTGAAGAGGAAGGGATGACCCAGGAGGACCCAATGAAATCTCCAAGCTCCTTTGAGGCAACAGCTGTCTCCAGGCTGCAAGGTAGGCCAGAGTTAGAGAGCCCAGGTGGTTCCTCAAGGAGCAGCAGTATTTCTCACACGGGCCAAGAACAGGAGTCTCTGCTGGAGCAGGACTCTGCAGTTGCTTCTGAAGACTTAAGTCCCACAAGTCAGTATGAAAAAGAAGAAGAGCCTCTTAAGGAAATGGTCCCCACCCATGTCTCTCCAGAACACCTGCCTCACCAAGATGTCCAGCCAACCAACCCGGAGTCCGGTGTTTCTGATTGTGGAGAGTGTCTGATTGCCTGCTTTGATACAGATGAAGAACTGGATAACCAGCCTCCATTGACCAATGCTGCAGAAGTATCTCTGTCAGTGGGTCACTTAGCTGAAGAATGGATAGGCCAGGTTTGCGCAGGGTCTGTCATCCCCCTGGAATGGAATCCCAAAGCATGCCCAGTTCAGTTTGAAGATCTGGAAGCCATGGATGTCAATGACTCATCCGCCTTTGACATTGGCGCCCGGCTAAAAGAGTCTGAGAAACGGCTGCTAGAGCTCCTTGACCAAGATGGTGCCACTGGCAGAAGCTCAGCAGAACCGGAGCAGGGCGATGGTGAGATGCTGGATACTTCTTCGGAGAAGGAGGTGCCATTTGTGTCGCTCCTTGAATCTGAGGTGGCCATTTTAGAACAGCCTGAAGTGATCCGAGCAGATACCGAGACAACAGAGGACAGCCTCATTGCCTGTTTGGACTCAGAGGATGAGCTTGAGGAAGCTTCATCTCTTGACCAGATGAACAACAACGAGGATCGTGTGATGGTGACATTTTCTGAGGCAAAATCTGATTCTCATTCTCTCTTGGCACTAAGCAGCACACCGGAAAACATACTTGCCGCAGACAACGAGGTCCTTCTAGAGGCAGGAGCACCATTGCCTCAAGAATCTTCTCTGTTCCACCCAGAAGTTGAGGAAGCAGCTGAATTGCAGAGCTGGAGTTTATGTGGAACACAGAATAGTTCAACAGATCCGGAGATAGGACACTTTTCCAACGAAGAGGCAGCAGTGGTAGATGACACCACAACTCCCAATCTTTCTGAACTATGCTTGGAGACTGGCGAAGCTGGAACTGTCAATGGGAGAGAGACTCAGGAGAGCGAACACTACCCTATGCCAGCGCAGGTAGAAATGGGCAGCCATGCTGATGAAACTTCCGAGGAAAACCTAGATAAAGCTAAGGACCTTCTGGATCTGTCCAGGGAAGAGTTAACTGAAACAGATGACAACTCACAGAATGTGGTGGAAGAGTTAGAGGAGCACCGCCAAGGGCTATCTGAGGAGGGTGATGCTGACCAGAGTTGGGAAACTCCATCTGAAGAAGATGCATCAGAACTTGAGAGTGAAGAATGCAGCAAAGCAGACTTCATTGCTGAAATCCCATCAGTAGAAGATGCTGTTGAGGTGGGGGACCAGCTGGAATCCAGCTGCTTAACAGCTGATGCCACGGAGCAGTTAGAATCAGAAATCCTAGTAACGCAGCAAGTAGATACTCACAATTTAGCAATCCAGCATTCTAGTCTGAAAGACAATAACATGAATGTGCTACAGGAGGAGGAAGTTGAGGATTTCATGGACAACATAAACACAACTGATGACCCAGCCTTGTTTGCAACCTCTGAAGAAATAATGGGTCACCAAGAAGAGATGGGCGAAATGATTGAGCAAGTTGGCTATCCTGACTCAGAAGATAGAAAAGAGTCCACTGAATGGCCGCAAATTGGGGGTATGGTGACCCTGGAGCCCCCATTGGTGCCCAGAGATGATGAGTTGGTTATTCAACAGGGAACTGCAGCTCAAAGCAATAGAGAATGTGGGGAATCAACTGAGTCTCCACTTGATGTGAAGGATTTCCATCTTCTAGACACCGACTCTGGGGCAGTTGAGGCTGCCCCGGACATTCTTCCAGCAGAAAAAATAGACCAAACACTCTCCAGTAATACTGCTGATGACCTACCTGAGAAACATCCACAAGTTCAGAAGAAGACTTTTGCTCAAGCCCTCCTTCAGGGTCTCCTTCCTATTTTGGAAACTGGGCACACTTTGCAGGAAAAAGATTTGGACGCCACCCTCCTTCCTCCAGAAGTGTTGGAGGATTCCCCATCCTACTCTCATATGGATTCCAGCTTCTTGACAGCAACTGAGGATGTCTCCAATGAAACCACTGTCTTGGCTCCAACTCCAGATTCTGGAAGAGAAGAGTTTATGACTCCTGAGCAAACATGGGGTAGTCAAGGCATAGTTGTGGAGGAGAGTCACCCTCCACAAGAACTGGAGGCAGTGACTGCAGAGTTGGAGCATCTGATGGTTGAGGTTGAAAACGTTGAGTCTGAATCCTTGGCTGCCCCACTGAATTGCTCTCCAGCAGAGGAATCTTCCCAGCAGAGCATGGCTGTGTGTCTGCATTACAGTGCTCTTGCTCAGCCACCTATGGCCACCCCACGGCATGCTGTGGCACAAAGAGATGTGTCACCTGAACTTAGGAACCATCAACAGCTCTTCTTTGCTTCTGAAGACAAGATATATTTGAGTGAGCTTCATGAAACTCAGCATAGCCTTTCCAGTAGAAATTTAGAGATGGAGCAGGCTGATGCTGCAGAATATTTGGGAAGCATTGACAGGGATGTGGCCACGGCCAGTTCTGAAACTTTCACCCCAGAGAGCTCACCAACCACCCCTAGCCAGCTCGAACCATCTGGTGCCTTGTTTCAAACTGATGTTGGAACCTCAGTATCTGCTAGCGTTCTTGCAGACCAGCAACAGGTAACCAGCATGCTGCAAGGCTCTTTTGGGAACTTGGAGGACCGAAGAGTGGAGGCTGCACATCTCATAAGTAGCCTCCTTGTAGCAGAAGCACAGAGCCTTCTTGGTAGCCTGAAGGAAAATGTCTTGGAGAGCATCTGTGGAGAGCACATAACAGAAGTATTAGAACCAAAATATTCTGAAGAACCTGAAAGCCCAATGATTCTTGGGGAGGAGGCTGCTGATTATGAACAATCCTGGCAGTCTTGCAAGGAAGCCAAAGCTGAAGACCAGGCCGAGATGGAGGAGGGTGGAACAGAAAAGGTTTTTCCCATTTCAGAGGGGACAGAGATGGAGGACCCTCAGTTGCAAATTTCTGCACCAAACAGAGCAGCCCAGCCTGCCATGGAAGATGTTGTCTCTACACCTGGGGAAGATGAGGCTGATGTCATTGATGGAAGCCCTACTCAGGGCCTGCCAGAAGAGCTTCCAAGGCTAGACGCCAATAGTATGGCAGAAGAGAAAACCATGGAAGTTCTAGAGGTGTTAGAACTGGAGGATACAGAATTGGAGATGACCCATCCAAGGACAGAGAGTCTTCTCACTGAAAGCATGGTACTGTCCCCTTCTGAAGATGCCTTGTTGCCTCTGGATTCTCCTATTCCCCTGTTGCAGGCTTCCCGTTCAGTTGGAACATCGTCACAAGAGACTCTTGCTTGTCCTCCAGAGCAACCCCCACCCCCTGCCCCAGAGGAGGCTCCTGTCTCCCTGCCTCCTTCCCCAAGACCTGAGTTCCCAGAAGTGCCTCCTCTTTTGCCCTTGACGCTGCCACCTTCACCTCCCCCAGAGGGTCCTGTCCAAGGCCCAGCAGCTACCTCGCAGCTCATTCCTTTGACTACAAGTCCTTGTGTGGAACACATTCCTTCCAAAGAGACTCTCCTCCTGCAGGATCCCCCAAAACCTCCTGTGGAAGGTAAGATCTTCTTTTCCCTGTTTTCTTCCTATCAAACAATTAAATACTGGGGACAAGCTGCTAGATCTGTGCACACCAAAGCAGTACTGTCGTATCCCCTCTAGGGGCACAGTTGCCAAGACGGGCAACAGACCTTGAGTGTGCAGCTTCAGTATCATCACATGGAACAGAACATCCCTGGTGCGCCTGTACTGTGTGCTGCTGTGAAACTCTTAGCTGCCATTTGCAACAAAAAGGCAACATATTTAGGAGTCAGATTCTCCAGACTTTGGGAATCAATATTGAGGTATTGATCACCCTGGAGAACTTGATTCCTAAGTATGTACTGCAAATCTGGGCTATCTCTCTTCCAAGAAATCCATAAAACAGTTTTGGAGACTTCTTTAACCAGATTTATTGAGAGAGAAAAGGGATTGCCACAGGAATCTTGGGACTGGATATGCTTACTTTAGCACCCAACTTGTCTCTAGGTTCCTTGGGTGGGAATTCCTTAATCCTCTTGCTAGCCACCTCTTGATGTCCTGGGGAGGCGACTGCCTGTTTTTCGGATGAAGGAAGAGAGGGCAGATTTGCAAATCACCATTCTTTTTCCCAGGTTTCAAGAAGACCATTCAAACTTCCATGGTTACTTAGGCCACCATTGGCTTAGCTGCACTGATGTCAAAATCTCAAGGCAACTTAGAATTAAGTTTCATTAGGGCCCCCAACATATTAGCCCACAGGAAATGGCATCGTTTGTGCTACTGGTTTGGTCCTGCATCTTGTCCAAGGCAGTTCACCTGGGTACATAATGCCCCAGCTCGACTTCCATGGCCTGCTGTTCTCCCACAACATGGCAACAACATCACAGTGTTCAGCAGAAGCACTGTTTCATTCTCCCTCTTTTCTTATCCATCTGATTTGTTCTCCTCCAGCAATTCTGCTTGTGCGGAGACTGGCAAAGGATGCTAATGTCTATGAAATGCAGCTCCTGGGTTCACACACTATACTAAGCCGTGGTTTAGTGAGCAAGCTACCACTGGATGGAGTTGCAAAGTCAGGAGCCCTGCAAACCACGTGTTGGCTTAGCACAGATGTGGATACAAAAATGTCTATCTCCACGGAGAAGGTGGCCTGTAGAATCCCCAAGCTGAGTTAATGCTTAATTATTTTAAAAAGCCAAAATATGGTAAGATTGCCTATTCAGTGTATGTAGGCGAGATCTCAAGGACAGATTACGTAAATTGCATAAGATTTAGTCTCCGTGTCACATTTGGAGGGCCTGAATGCTCAAACCCAGAAAAGCTTGTGTATTGTGGTGTGTGTGAACCCATCCAAGAACTTGGGAAAATGCCAATCAATGGGAGGAGGGAACGGTCTGCAGTCCCACCCCTGAGCCTTCTCTTTTTCCAGCCCTCGAGAGTGCCAGGTCTCCAGGGCCCTGCCAGCCCAACCAACTCCCCAGCAGCAAAGATGCCCGAGGGCGGAACCAGTTGCCTGGCAACAGAGACTCCCGAGCCAAGGACTTGGTGTCTGCCCGGGAGAAGCGAGCCGGCCGGGGCTCCCTCCCACTGGAGTCAAGTTCAAGCGAAGAGAGGGAGCTGGAGACGCTAGGCGAGGCGGCGGGCATGATGCTTTTGGAAGAGAAGAAGCCGTTGGTGGGGAAGAGGGTCCCAGACACCAACCATAAAGGTAACAACCCTGTTGACATTGGGTGGAGATGGTGCAAGCCATGTTCCTCTTAGCTTGGTGCTTCACCATGGCTAGTTGAATGAACCCCAGTGGGCTAAATGCCTGTGACACATGAAGTGGTAGATAGCAATTTCCAAACCACCTGCCTTCACATCCTATGTTAAGCTATAAATCAAAGCAAATCAGTGTTAGTCACAAACCAACATATGGTTAAGCTATAAATCCTGGTTGGTAGACCACAAAGGCTAGGATGATGCAATAGATGTCAAGCCGACCACTTCCTGGCTCAATTTATAGTGGGAATCCATTCCGTTCTTTTTCTTCTCTGCTTGTCAGTTATCTCCAAGGGACTGGATGTGTCCCACTGACAATTTGGGGAAGGGGGAGCATCGAAGTAGTTTTCTTCCAATGGGCTTCTGAAAAGGGGCAGCCGTATCTGGGAATGGAAGCCATCTTCTTGTGAGGGAAGACGGTGGGAAAGAGAATTGTCTGTGTTTGGGACAATGTTGTCTTAGATACTAATTAAAACAGTCGGATCTTTGGTGTGTCTTTCAGGGATGTCCACAGGGAGAGTCAGGAAAGTCAAAATGGCAGCCATGGCCATGCCATTGAAGTCCCACCCTTTTTAACGTCTATTCCACAATAGGGTTTCAGTTGTGCGGTTATGGCCGTCAACTTGATTTTGTTGACCCCCTGGGCACCCTTGATGTCTTTCTTGTTTGCACACTTGCAGTTGAGCAGTAGTGTGCTTTCACCATGGTTGACCACGCCTCAGAGGGCCCCGTATCCTTCTACATCATCAACCAGGATTTATGAACCGTGGTGCTTAGGTGCAGCAACCCCTTCTAAGCCACACTTGGCGCAGGGTGTGGCCATTGTGTGAACCTGAGAGCAGCCTTGCCTCAGCTGGAGCTGGGCAGATATGCCGGATCACCGTTCCTACTTGGGATGGCAAGAAGCCCGTGAAAAGGAAGGAAGGTGGCTTCTTTCCTTTCGTCTGCACATTTTTCAAGATGTGCGCTGGGTTCATTTGCTTTCTGCATATACTACAAGGAAGTGTTGTGTCCGGTGTTCATAAAATATGCAGTGAGAAAAGGGAAGGAAGGAAGGAAGGAAGGAAGGAAGGAAGGAAGGAAGGAAGGAAGGAAG